AGCCACGTGCCAAACGTTGCCGACCCCTGGTTATACTGTATTTCTCAGTGGAAAGTGACAATTCCTATAATGGAGCTGACAGAAATTTCCCACACAATGTGTTCTGAACTGCTAGTGATCAGTTTATGATCTGAAGCTTGAGTACAGATAGCCCTGGTTGTTTTTAATGCCTGCTAGCATACTGCAGATACTATTTAAATTCATGTGCATCTAAACCCCACCCCACCCCCCTTTTTTAAAAAAAAAATCTGCTAGGTTACATGCTTTGATAAAATGCGCTCTGAACAGTGAACGTGACTGAGAGATTGTACACACTGTGGAAAAGTTCTATCACTTTTACATTTTTTTCTCTCTTCTAGTGTTAAGCAGCTAATGTCAACTTTTCTACAAACAGAGATCTGTTAAAATTTCCAGTATAAGTCTGATAATTCAGGACACTACAGTTGGCGTGGAATGAACAATATTATTAATACACACTCACTGCAAGTACATGCGATAAATGAGTTTTACTGAACAGCCAGATTGTGGAACTGGGGCTGTAAAGTACTATCAAAATAAGCAGTTTTATTGTACAATAATTACAGTAATTACTGCAGTGTCTGAGGAAATACAACACAAACACTGCTGTAATGACCCCTACATAATCCTTTATAGGTACCACTCTAGTCAGAGTGGTTTGTATTTCACACTAAATTATGAGGGAGGTTTCTCCCATTCACAGATGTGGAATTTGTGCAGACAATTACAGTGAACACTAAGATTCTACTCAACAAAAATAAGTCATGAGTTGTTGATCTAGCATTATTCATCCCAATTTCAGCCCTGACACTAGGAAATTACCTACATATCATGTCATGGCTACTTACAATAATCCCTCTTAAAGCCCATAAAAAAATCCACATGGATGCTCCACATTTTCAAAGTTCTGGTTATGTTTCTTTGCTGGGCAATTCATCAGTCTTCCTATATTTTCAGTTTATGATTCTTTTCTCGAACTTACTGAGCCAGGAAATAACATGGACAACAGCTTTTCCCACTCAATGGGACTTCAGCATAAGCTTGAAGTTAAGCACATGCTTAAGTGCTTTGCTGATCAAAGGCCTAATTGCCACCTTTGCGCATCCTCCTGTCACATACGCGCATACACACACACACAATTATCTAGTAAATTATACTTACAGATTCATAGACTTTAAAGGCCAGAAGGGACCATCAGATCATCTAGTCTGACCTCCTGTATATCACAGGGCTTTAAATCTCACCCCGTTACCACTCTATTGAGCC